TAATCATGCATAAAGGTAATTGCTTTCCCCTCTTTGAAGAAAAGGCAGGCTCTTATATGTGGCATCAAACCTACGGGTTTTTTTTCCCGTGCCCATCCCTCCTTTTTGTTTTAATCGCCGAGTCTCCCGCCGACAGATCCACCCGAAAGACAGCACCGATCGCAGCCTTTCCCTTCCCCAGTGGCACCGATGTAGGCGTTCCTCTACTGAGACACGCACAACACTTGTTGAAATAATATTTCTTGGATTGTGTAGTGCAGCTCCTAATGGAACTGGAGTGCCGGCGCCCTTTCAGACCAATTAAAAGCAGCCCGGATGGTGTTGAAGGATCACTATTTAACTGCCGAAGCAAATAAGGCGTGGTTGTATGTAATAAACATACGGTGGGCGGTGTAATTGCTATTGCTTTTTGTCCAGGTATGTATGGGTAAGACACCTTTTCCTGCTTTACAAAACGTGGCTCCATTATGTATATAAACTGCGGGAAAAGTTTCTGCTCAATCAAAATACTGTATGCTGGAAGAATCCCTTGGACGCTCCTTCAGAGGTGTGCATTTGAAAGTGGGAGAACTGCGGAAATGTATCCTTTTTTAGAGAACGTTCCCGATATTTATCTTTATCTGCATTCTCTCATTTTTATACATCGATGAGCAGAGAAACAACCCCCCCCCCAAAAAAAAACCAGAGACATACACACAACACTCACAGTAAAAGTCAATAGAATTGTGTTCTCAGTCCTTCTCTCTCCAGTTAAATGAGTGTAAGTCTATATTGTTTTTTTAAGTTAACCAAACTTGGACGCGGGTATACAGATTGTTTTGGAATATATCTGAACATAAAATGGAAATATGAGGGTTTGGGAGGGAACTACTTTTTACAAAGCAGTTTAGGACGTGCTTCCGTTTTAAATGAAATCAGCACATGGTGACGAATCAATATTATTAGTGCTGGAGGTGGGGGCCAGCAGGAAACAGCGCCTGATCAATCAAGGGCGGTGGATTTTTAAAAACTCAGCAGTTATTATTTCTTGGACCTTCAAGTATATTTTACAGTAATCGTTTTAATGTTATTTCAATAATACTTTTTACGAAAAAATATTGCCTTATATATACATATATAATAGAATACTTATTTTTCTTATGAATTTTTAAAAAGGAAACACGGAATGACTGGTAAAATATGACAAGACTTATTTTTGGGTGGCAGAGAGGAAGAAAGAGGTGAATGAACGCCGGGAGATATCAATCAGTCAGCATTACAGTAAATGGTAAAATAGCTGAACATCGTGGCTCACTTCAACAATTCTAGACTGCACTGAGAACTAAATTTAATCTTCGAGCTCCGTTTTGATCAATGATGCTCCATCATGTTATGTCTTGGTCCTGATCACTTCTCTCGATGGCAACAGAACTTGGGGTTTGACTGTCTCCTTTGCGTTCAGCGGGACTGGGAATTGCCTATTGTCTTCGGAGTTTTTGTTCTACCTCTCAGTGTACCTAAAGCTGTATAACTGACAGATGCTCAGAGTCACCGAGCCAAAGAAGAGCCATATGAATACACGCATAGGCTGGCAGAGTCCAGCTGGGCAGGATCCTGGTTGCCCTCTACTGTAGTTTGTTCGCTTGCCCTCCTGGCATGCTCAACCAACATCCTTGTCGTCCGAGAGCTAACTTACGAGACATTCAGGCATGTGCAATATTTACTACCTTTGGCAAGTCTGTCACTTAATCAGCAGTCAGTCTTATGTAGAGAGAGGTATGGCACCTATTTTTAACCCGCTTTTCAAAAGATATCAATCACAGTTGAATAATACTATGTCAATCGGTCTTCCCCCCCAAATGCTAAGATTCATTTGGAGTGGCAGCTTCACCTCAGAATGTTGATGGTTTTCATATTTTTGTTGTTGATGAAGCGATTCAGTTCAGAAATCTTGCATTATTTAGATGACGGCAGCAACACACCCATCCACTGCCTGAGCACGCCAGCGAGGGGGAAAGAGAAGAAAGAAGAGAGATAGAGGTTACGTAAAATCTTACACCAAGTTTTCCAACGGACGGGAAGTTCAGTTTCAGAAATCCTTCCTATTCTGTTGTGGTTATATGTCCTAATACCGTCCCTTGTGCTGCTTATTCAGAGATAAAAGGCTAAGAGTTTTCTCACCCCATCATGGGTTGGAGGGGCAGTTCCGTCAAATTATTTTAATAGCCACATTCAGACAAACAGCGTAGCAGAGGCGCCGTCAGGCAACCGCTCGATCCTAATATACAGAAAATACACTTCTCCCCTCCCAGGTGTTCACACCCTCCCGCTTGTCCCCCTCCCCCCCAAATAAACTTTGGCGACGGCGCCGTGCTGGCGTCTGTCACTGGAATCCTCGTCAACCCACCGCTCCCGGCCGAGTCGCTCTCCTGAGGCCGGGCTTGAAATGGTTAAAGCCGCGCCCCCGGCTCTTCAAAAACGCACCTCCTGGAAACTCCGCCCTCGCGGGCCCCGAGTCAACGCCTAAAGGAGACGGCAAGGAAGAGATCCTGTCACCCAAAGCAACCTGCTGGAGTCGGCTGTCTGGAGCCAATAGCAAAGGGGAAGGAAGGAAGGAAGCCCCCCCTCTCCCCCAGTTCATTACCAGTTGCTGCCCGTCTCGTCTGACGCGGCCCTCTTCGCACCTCGAGGCGAGGCGTGTCTTGGGAGGGCGACCTGCTTGCACCGCCAGCCGGCATCCGAGGGGAGAATAGGGTTGGGTTGGATAATGAATTTTCTAGAGATACAACCAGATCTTGGTAGAATTTGGGTTATGTTCCCACACAGCAAAACTGAGGCAGACGTTTGGTGAAAAAGAAGTGCGGGTGCATCTGCGGTAAAATCAGTTCTCCACGTTCTGGCTCCATTCTACAGAATCTTAGGATGGTGAAGCATTTAGAATTATCTCGTCTGACACACACTCACTCTCATTCGCTCCCTCTACCCGTTTCTCTCTCTCCCCCATCTCTCCGTATGTGTGCTTTTGCTTTCGCTTTTGCTGTCTGAAGCAAAGAACAAGTGTGTCATCACCCCGTTGTTCTACATGCAGAAGCCAACCTGACTAACCTTTCAATTTGATTTTAAAACTACCAAGAGACTGCATCCTGGACTTTCACTGCAGCTGACAAACCTAAAAGTTCAGGGAAGAACACACATCTTGATTCTCCCTGCAGAATCACCAAACATCTGCTGCCTGAGGGGGAGTGACTCATTCTATCTAATTCTCTTTCTGCCTAATTCTGAAATTCAGTATGAGTAGGACAAGGAAGGAAGGAAATTTTCATTTTGCATAGGTGAACCTTCTGATTACTGTGATCCCAATGCAAATATACATACTGTAAAACTGTTAGGCATTATCCCAGCGGTGAGCCTAAATATCTGTAACAAAAACCAAACCTAAAGCATTGTGACATCTTTGCTTGATTTCTGTGGGAATGTTTGTGGATCACAGTTGTCAAAGTCTAAGATCTCACAGGCAGCCTCTCACCAGGAATAAGAGCATCAGGACCCAGTTCGCCACGCAGGGTATCGAGTCCAAAGACACTCACGGTGCAGCTGGCTGTGGCCAAGCGGAGGTGGGAGGATGGGGCTGGGAGCCAGGTCGCAGGATTGGGAACAAGGAGCCAGAACAAGGCACTGAGATGCAGGAGACCAGCAGAAGCAAGCAGGGACTAAGGCAGGAACAGGAGCAGATGCAGGAACACTGGACTCTGAATGCAGAGATGACAGAGGCAAGCAAAGGCAAGAGCAGGGGCCACAGGAGCAGATGCAGGAACACAGGAGCAGAAAGGCATAGCATGACCAAAGACCTTTGTTGCTGAGGGAGGGAGAACCACTCTTTCAAAGGCAGGAACACAGGGGCTCCTGAGCCCAGGAGCAGAAAAACATAACATGACCAAAGACCTTTGTTGCTGAGGGAGGGAGAACCACTCTTTAAAGAGGCCTTCCCTCCAGGTTTCCAGGTGAGCCTCATGAGTAGCCCAGCAGCTGCTACACAGGCCAGGGCCCCAGCCTGCAAACACCAGGCCATTCCTGGGTCAGTCTGGCCCCAATCCTGCAGCTGCCAGGGCGGTGTGGGCCAGATCCTGACAACAGTCTAGTTTCTCAGATACTTTCAATATCTATGGATGCAGTATATGCCATCGTACCATGGGATAGAATACATGGAAAATTGACATATACTGTGTATGGCATCCATAGATATTCAAGTACTGGACACCAGTGGCTGTCTGCCATTCCTCCATTTACAATAATGTTGGGCACTGGGAGGTGGGGTACAGGACAAAGCCTTAAATGCAATGATTCTAAAAGCCCATGTAGCACCTCAATCAATATACAACTCAGCTTAAAAACTGATTAAAAGTTACCTTTTGACTTGTGACTACCATGTGATATTAAACCAAAATGAAAAACCCTGATCCATCACCCAATTTATTTAAACCATGCACCTAGTCTGAATGGTGAACATGGCCCCCAAGATGCTGTTGGACTACAGTGTTCATTATCTCTCACCATTGGCTATGTTGATTTTGGCTGATGGCAACTGCCATTCTCACCATCCGGAGGGCTACATGCCCAAACTACTACACTTCTCTGGTTTGATTGTGCCACTTCAAACCACAGGTGAAAGTTTACATCACAAGTGCTCCTGCTAGTTGGGAAAAGAAAAACATCTATCATAAGAAGAAAGAGGCATGGCTGGAACACCTGCAGGATTTATGCATTAGCATTTTAAATGGGTACTCATTAACATGGAGCGAAAGAGAAACAGTGTACAATTTGTTCTGAAGTGGATGCTTTTTTTCATATGATTTCTTATCTGCACTCTGAAGCCTGACAAGGGCTTTCTAGTCCTGAAAACCATAAGGTAAATTTGCCACAAACGTGATATTTTAACCTATCTGTCGTCTTATTTTCATCTTGGCCTTCACCAGTCTGTTTTATACAACCCAAAACACTACAGTCAGGAGACTGTGTGTGATAAATGCAAGCATGCTAGTTCAAGTAATTTATTTATGCATGAGCAACTCGAGGCCTATATTTTTTCCACATCTTCTTTCCAACATCTTCTTTTCAGAAAACAGAGGTGAAGATCCTCATTTATTCCAAATTCCATGGTCAAACAAGATGTAGCAAGCAGCCACCATAGGCAGGGAGGATTTTTGGCAGTGCCCCAATTGCGAAATGTCTCAGAGTAACTTCATCACACTTTTATGTGTTACTCTTCTGCCCAAAACTACACTACATTTGAACTAAACCAAAAGGCTTTCCCACAAAACTTTTTGCTATTTTTCTTTGAGGTTACTTCAATGCCATCCTGCCATAACCAATGACATGCTGATATCTGAGAGTGGAGGGTAATTTTACAGTGGATATATTTTTATAAATTGTATACTGCTTTTATGCTGTAAGCTATGAGTTAATTTAAGAGAAACAAAATGTATTAATCATATACTTTTAAACATCTTTTTCCTTAATTGCATGCAAGATTGTATCTATTGCCTTCTTGAAGGACTATGCTGTCATAGAGAGAATGAGGGAGTTGATAGAGGGGAAAGAGAGATAGGAAGATTAAAAAAAATGGTAGGCTCACCTCCTTTGGATTGTGGCCCCACCTGAAATGGCCTTCAGCCTACCATCTGCCAATCATGTAGTTCCTGAGAAATATTAATGAATGGAACTCTTAACACAGGAGAAACTGGTACTGATCAGGAATGACAGAACAGGGTGGACAATTGAAGAGAAGACAAGGTCAATAAATGATGGAGGTAATTCTGGTATTGTTCCTACCCATCCCGCTTATAGTGACATGCAATCCAGCTCCTTATGTTAGTCTTGTAAGCTTCCAGACTGTCACACATAATTCTCTCTTTTGCACATCCGATTTGGATAAAATTTGTACAAGCTAAATAAATACAGTTCATCTCACCATAGTGGAGATAACTGGTACTGCTTAGTCTACTGTCCAGGGTGCTGATTTTTTAATGGGTAAATTCAAAGATTTTGTAATCCCTTCTTAAAAGTTCCTTATCTTTGAATTAGACTTGGGCCAAGCCATTGTAGAAACCTGCCTGCCTGCCTGTTTGTTTGCTTGTTTATATCCCACTTACCCTTTCTAAAATGATATCTCAAAGCAGTGAATGTTATTTTTAAATTAAAATGGTTTTAATGTTTATCATATTAGTGTATGGTTTAATTGTTTTTTGATGTTTAACTTATAATGTTTTTAATTTTATTATTTAAATATTATGAGCCACCTTGGGTCCCCTTATCAAGAGAAAGGCAGCCTGTAAATAAAATGAACAAACTAACTAACTAAATAAACAAATCCAGCAGAAACATACAATTGGGTCTGCGACTGAGGTATGAAGATTTATGTGTTGGACTAGTACTTTGAGTTCCCCAGGTAATGAGACAAGGCCACTGTAGCAGGAAATAATGTAGAAGGCCTCCATCTGATACTTGCAGCAAGGCAAATCCAAGATATTTTCACTCAAGAGGTAGGGCAGCCAATCATACCCCCCTCTCAAGTCAAGGTTCATATCCAGAACATCCATTGTCAAGGTCAGCCAGGATATATCAGCAGAGGAGACAGAAAATACCACCGGTGCCTTTCCCTGCTTATTCACAGGAAAGATACAAGAACAATTAAGTGGAATTATTATCCATGTGCTGCCTTGTTGAGGCACCTCAAAATCAGCCACCTCAGACTATGCCTAATCAACCCTGATAAGATTAATGTCAGTTAAATGGTGGAGGCTAGTAAGCTCAGTGTCATGGGTTGGCTCTTGGTTTTAGTCCAAACTTTACTGGAGTGCCAAACTTTTTTGGGATGTGATTTGGCAGCTTGGATAGCTCCCACAAAGTCTGGAACAATCCTAGAAACAGATTCACCATTCCCATTAAACTGGAGTGCCCAGTATAGTCAAAGTGGATTATACTGGGCTACAAGGCAAAAAGTCTGATCCTCTGTAAGGCAGCTTCCTCTCTTCTGTTAACACAGTCCATGACCAAACATATGCAGGAGTATTTCCTACCCAAAGATGAAAAATTCTGCAGTATTTTTTTTTAACAACATTGCAGGAGCTCTCACCTGCGCTGCTCTGAATGGTGTACAGAAACATCCATGCAGCAGCTGCTGTTTGCTCATGGTTACAACATATTTCTCAACACATTATCAAACACTGCCTACTTACCCTTTAAAAGCCTGCAGTTGTATCTTCTGAAATGCTCATTTTGTTGACAGTCTGAAAAATGCCAAGATCCTGATGTGGATCCAGAAATTGGACAATACTGCCAGGATTGCATCTCCCTTCCTTGTGAGCATCTTGTCTGCCAGTGGGAAGGCTGTGCTTAATTTTTTCCCCAATAGATTTTTCTATGGGTGTGGATATGCAGTTCATTCATACAGAACAGCTATAAAGAAATGGTGCAGGGGAGTGAGTTGCAGTTTAGCTAATATATTTTTCTGCTGCTTAAGGACATCTAATCTCTCTAAGCCCAGCACTGCCTCTGTCATCATGGTGTGTGTGTGTGTCCTTGAGGGGAAACTACATGCTTACAAACAGGTCCTTCCTTCCTTCCTTCCTTCCTTCCTTCCTTCCTTCCTTCCTTCCTTCCTTCCTTCC